CCTGTCACTGCTGTTGGAAGGCTGTCACACATCCAGCCCCAAGATCCCATCAGTGACATGCCCCAGGCCACAATGCACCTGGAGTTTATGGTTGTTTCAGGATATTGCCTTGGGGTTGGATCCAGCCAGGTAAAAAGCTTGAGAGCTGCTCCCCCTTGTTTGCTTGTAAATGGGCTATGTATCAAAATGGATCTCTTGAGCAGTAAGTTATAATTTAGTGCTTATTATAATATTCATTAAGCTCTGCCTTCTGCTGTAGTGTTACACCAAACGCTAATCATTAGAAATTAAGGTGACAGGAGGGAATAATACACAGAATTGTGTAAGTGGGAGGAAAAAGAGCTCAGGAGGGATTAGCAGGCAAAGCAGTGGGAGAATTTCCTTTTTACTGGGAAACCAGAGGTAATAAAATCCCCAGGAGGAGGGGACTGGGAGGCACAGCTGGCAGGGCAGGGGACACACAGGGAGGTGTGGGCAGGGGAGCTGCAGGGGACACAGACAATCAGAGGTGCTGGTGGGTGTCAGGGCACCAAGCAGAAGGGTCACAAGTGTGGGACCACTGGGTCCAAAGTGTCTGGTTTGGGGGCATTGCTGGATCCAACCAGGGAAATTACCTCCAAAGGCTCCATCTTGCCTTAATATTATTCCTCTACTTCATTTGCCTGGTTTATTATTAAATTTTTTTTTACTCTTCAGGATGAAAATAAACTTCTTATGATGATTTTGTAGCAACCTGGGCTAGTGGGAGATGTCCCTGCCCTTGGCAAGAGGTTGGAATGGATGATTTTTAAGGTCCCTTCCAACCCAAACCCAACTGCAGTGTGGGTAGGATGAGTGCAGGGCAGGGTGAATGGCCAGGGAGGCAGCCAAAGTCATACAGAACTGTGCAAGGGACATAGTTTTTCCTGTCCCCAGCAAAGGGAGAGTCATAAACTTCACCCTTCGTTGTGATCTATGCTGCTCTGCACCAAGCACAGCTGGCTCCACAGCTTCCCTCCAGCAGAACTTCTTTAATCACATTTCCTCTTTCCTGTGGCTTAATTAGGGGAAAAAAAATAATCTTATCTATGAATGTGATTCCTTTGTTGACAAACATTTCCATGTTTCTTCTTTTCTTCTCCTTAAGTAGGAAAAAGCCATTTACCATGTGCTTTTCTCAAGCAATTTCCAGGGAGGTCCAGCAAAACACAGCCAGGAGCCATCAGCAGCCAAGCCCTGACCGAGTTTCCCTGCCTGAGTAAACCAATGTTTTGCCACTAATGTGAGCTGAGTGCCCATTCTCTGTGCCCCACTTGTTTTATGGCCAGGACTGGGGTGCAGGGGGAGGCAGCACTGGGGCAGCTCCCTGGAAATCCCACTGAGGCACTCAGAGTGTTCACTCCCATCCCATTTCACGGTGTGTGATGTGCAAACACATTAGGGAAGAGCTGCTGTGCTCACCAGCTGGGCTGGCTCACCGTGCCCAGCTGTCTCCCTGCCTCTCCATCTCTCACAGAGCTGTTTGGGGATGGGAGATGCTCTTGCTCTATCTGGGCCAGTCAAAATCCCCGCAAAAGAAAGATTTTTTTTAACCTAACGGGATGTTTTTCATCATTATAATGAAAAATTGTCATTTTTCCATGCTCTGTTGGTCCCTTCAGCCATACTGGGGGATGGGGATGGCAGCTCCAAGCCACCGTGAGATGGCCAGCAAGGGAGGGAGCTGACCCACTGCCAGCTTGAGGTGAAGCAATTAAAGTGTGTGGCTGCCACCAGCATTTCCTGACTGTAATTAAAGCTTTTAATAAGGAGGCATATGGTAACCCCCTTCCCCCAGCCCCAGGCTGGCATTTTGCCAGGTGTGAGTTTATTAACGGCTGCTAATTACACCTAATTCATTCAGCGAGGAGAGCTGCATCCCCTGCCCTGAGTGCTCCGACTGGCTGTGAATGCTGGCAGAAAAAAATTCTCAGTATATCTTTCTTCCCTCTGGAACTGAACCCCAGGGGTTTGCAGGGTATTTTGGAGACAGCAGCATGTGGGGCACAGTGGTGGCTCCTTCCCTGCTGCACCTCACCCCTGTCTGCATGTGCCAGGGCTGGAAATCTGGCTGCATGTCCTGCTTACAGCCAGCACATGCTTTCATTCCCTGGGCTGAGTTTTGCTGGAAGCCTGATAGTCCTGGTAGCAGTGAGGCTCAAAGCCATTCCCCATCTGATGATAAATGCAGCTGTTGGGACATTCCCAACCCCATGGAGCCTCAGGGCTCCTGCATGTCCCTGGACTGGGAGTGTGTGTTATCCTGGTAAGAAAACCAGTGGCTTCATTCCCCTCAGACCTTAGCTCTGCTGCTGAGATGTTCACTGGACCAAGTGCCCAACAATGAGGCCGTTTCCTCTGTAAAAGGTTCTTCGTAATGTTTTAACAACAGCTGCTTATATTTCTTGCAGTGTGTGTTATGAAGTACCTCACTCCCAGCCTGGGGCTCTGAATTTTCCGGCTCTGCACAGTCATTGAGAGAGAATGAGCATTAAAATCATCCATGTGGAAGTTCTCCCTTCCTTGCCAAGCCAGTCCCAGGTCCTGCTCCTGCAGCAACCTGGTGCCACCTGTCCCTGCTGCCTAGTTCCTGTGCTGCTGTCACCAATGGGACATGTGCCATGGCCATTGATGTTCCAAGGCACTGGATCTGCCCCTGAGAGGGATGAGAGCCCACCAAGAGTGGGATAAGGACAGAGAGAGGCCACCAAGGATGGAGATGGGGTATGTTGAGCTGCTCATGAGGGGTTGAACCTTGAAGGGCCCCACAAACACATGGACATGGTTTAGGCTAGGAGTGCCTCACTGGTGCTGTTGGATTCAGCAGCTGTGGATGTGGCACTTGGAGACATGGTTAGTGGTGGCTTTGGCAGTGCTGGGAGGGGTGGTTGGACTTGGTGATTTTCAAGGTCTTTTCCAACCTAAAATGATTATTTGAGCTGCCACAGCTTGTTGCCCAAGGGTGGTGGGTGCTGGCCAAAGGTGTCTCCAGCACTGAAGCATCAGGACATGTTTAATTGTTGTGATGACTGGAGTGGTGGAAGCACATGTGGCAGGACAGTATTTCTGGGAGCAGGTAGGAAGGGACATTCACAAAGATTTCCACACCAGAAGGGTGAGGTGTTCCATATCAGATTCAGTTATTTACACATTCCCTATTTGGCAACCCAGGGATTTTGCACTCTCAGCAGCTCACTGAAATCCTAGATGTCAGGCAGGGAGTGCAGTCAGGCACATCCCAGTACAACCATCATGCCCAGTCCACTGTTCACCCACTCCTCCAGTGGTGAAGGATGTACTGGGGAGGGACTTGGCGTGGTGGGATCTGCCTAGCTAGGAGAGAAGAAATGAGTGAAAATGGGAACAGTTCCGGCCAGGAGAGGAGAAATGAGTGAAAATGGGAACAGTTCCTGGCTGCCGTACCGGGAATAATCCCTGACTGTTGGTGCCCTCTGCTGCCAAGAGAGATTTTTCCCGTTGTTCTTAGCAACGTAGCATGAAATGAAACAATATCTACATATTGCATTGTTTACAGCTGCTTGATTTGTGCAACAAAACTGGTGGTAATGGTGGAAAACAAAGACACAACTTTGCAGTGAGATTCTCTATAGCTGATGTTGTAGATGTTAACATTCTTCTACTCTCCAAACTCCAGGTTAGAGAACACTGTGACTTTGTTGTCACTGTTTTCTAAACAAGCAAGTTAATCCTTACCTGATTGCCTATTTTTCCCTCCTCTAAACTCTAGTCTACACACACCTCAACATTCCTGCAGATGTCTGGACCTCAACATCAGACATTAATTCCCTCTGGGAGGGTTTGAGGAGCAGCTGCCAAATCTCACAGGTCTCCAGTCCCACACCAAGGCAATACCACTTCAAGACACTGGTTTCACCCAGCTGGTTCTGCATAAAGTCTTCAGAAATCAGAGAAGAAAGAGTTGCAAAGTGTATTTTATGGTTTTAGTACATTTTTTATTGCAGTCACTTCTAAATGATTCACAAGGTTAATGCCTTTCAAACCTCTATGTTACTAAAGTAGAAATTAGCATTGATATTTAATGGTAGGACTAAACAGGAGATAAAAACCTGCGGAGACCAAAGGAAAGATGCTCAGACTGTCAGGGATTTGAATTAAGTATAGAGAGAACAAACTTCATTATGTGAAGTCAAAGAACTTGAGCTTATCAGTCTGGGCTATATTTTTACAGGTAAACCTGATTAAACATGAATAAAAGGACACTGCTACTCAGTAGGAAAAGGACACTGGGCAACAAAAATGAAACCAAACAAATATTTATAAAGCAACATCAGCTCAAGTAGGACAAAGTGATGGAGTTGCTCATTTTGTCCAGTGGCTTCTGCTCTGTGGAGCAGCAGCTCCATGCTCGGAGAAACACAACCTCCCTCTCTGCAAACACACAGGGAGTGGTGAGGAACTCTGAAATTCCAGAAACTGGGCTGAAATTTGGTTTGATGCCACCAGATCTCATCAGAGCCTTGACAACAGCATCACTGTGTCACTCTTCTCCACATCCTTCCTACTTGTTGGCTTTTCAAACACAGTGAAAGGCACTACAGCCTGTGCCAAACAGCTCCTTGGGGAGCTGGTAAAGCCCCCAAGTCCTCACTGACATCAACAACAACCTCACCTGCACTGCCATCAGGCTGGAAATCCACATTCCCACAAGTCTTCATGAGACTATTTTATAATCCTCAAAACAGGCAAGTGTTACACTGTGTTCCGAGGTAGCATTCACGTGGAGATACCATGTATATATAATACAATGTATTCCCAATCACCAGTCTCAGAGTTACATTGTACAGTATTCCTCCTCCTACTCCTCAAGGTACAGTTCAACAGCTTTTAGTCCAGATCCTGGCAGGAAGAGAGGATAAGGGAAAGACAAGCCCCTATCCTTTAAGCAAGCTCTCTAAATTATTCCTGTGGCCTTGCCAGAATGTCCCTTACAGTCACTGATCCTACTGCTGCATCTTTTCGCTCTTCTTCTTAATATCTTTCAGCACATCCTGCAGTTTCTTAGAGTTCTGTATGAGGAAGGAAAGGCTCTCCTTGAAGTTGCCGGTGCCATGCTCCCTGCAGATGTTCTCAAGGCTATCAAACCACTGCACAATCTTCTCCAGCTCGGCCTTGACAGCTTTCTGCTCCTCCAGCTCTGCTCGCAGCGCCTGCCCCGCGGCCACCTCCGCCCTGCACTGCTGCTGCAGCTGCTGGATCTCATCCTGCAGCGCCTGGAACTGCTCCTCGCTGTAGGGATACTGCGCGTGGACCTTGTCCTCGGGCAGCAGCACGTTCTTCGGGATGTTCAGCACCAGCTGCAGGAGCATTTCTTCCATTTTGCTGAAGAGCTTATCGAAATGCTCCTTCATGAAGACCAGGAATTTCTCCGTGCATTTCCGGATCTGCGAGGGGCTGATATTGCAGCCTGGGATCCCATTCAATTTCTTCAGGATCACTCCCTCCACCACCTGCATCATTTCGAAGAGGTAGTCCTGGAACGCGAGGTAGACGCGCAACAGGCACGTCTGGGGGGTGAAGCCGAAGATCTGCGCCTCGTAGGCCATGGGATCCACCGACATGGTGAGGAGGGAGCCGAGCAGGAACCGAAGGCAGCCGGGAGGAACCGAGGGGAG